CGAATGGCAAAACTCACTGATGATGCCGACTACGATGCCGGCGAAACGTTTGAAAATGTATCAAGTCCACATTTAGATGCTGGGAATCATGACAACTACTATGGCAGACGACTTCGGACTAGGTGCGTTCTACTAAGTCTCCCTGACAATAAGACCAAGTTACAACAACGAGGTCAACCAACTTCTATAAATCGAAAGGAGACTGCCACAAAACCAGAGGCCACAACATCTTGGTCTTCATATCTTCAAAAAATGTTATAACTTGTTGATGGGACTCAATGGTGATGCCGACTTCGAGGTCGGCGAAACGTGTTGTATTGCAGCAGGTTCACGACCCAACGTTGGTAATTGTAAAAACGGCTAATGTAGAGAACTCCGGACAAGGTGCATCAATCTAGCTTCCCCTGGCAGCACGACCAAGTTGAGCAAACCAGGTTAGACTACTTCTGCTCATAGAAAAGAGACTGCAACCCAAGTAGAGGCCACACTATCTTTGTCATCATGTCTACGTTGAAATCGGTGTTGTTACTGGGAAGATGCTGTGAATCACTGTCATAATTTCTCTATCCCGATGATTCTTTACAAAATTCCCATTGAATCGAGTAAAATTACTCTTATTTGCCTAAGTAGGTTTAAGCCATAAGCAACTGTTAGCTGCATCCAATTGACCTTTTGCATCATTTCCAGAATTTACTTCTAATAAAACATTGAGGATATGACTTATTTCACGTTTTGTTGAGACTCTGCTTTGGTCCATATTCTCTGGTCTCTCGTCCCTTATCAAACGCAGGATTATAATTCGCATTACTTTGAATTCCCTTGACCCGTTTCTCAGACTTTGTCTTTGATTGCCAATAAAAAATTTTTTTTCTCATTTCACTCTGTAACTATCATGTTTTTTTGATAGATTTAACAGATTCATCTAGTCTCATCATCCTTTACGATTGGCGGAGAGATGGTGTAGATGTCTTAATAAGCGAAATTGTATTTATTAATTATTCCATCTCTTTCGGTTGCATTTTTGCTGTATCATGTGAAAATTTACCTTTGCAATTCGAACAGACTCTACCACTTCAAGCCTGCCGCCAACTCTGCTTCTGTACAGCCGCCCACTTGGACCCCCAATTTTCCTGGCTCTTCAATGAGGCTCCGTCCTGCGAGTATATCCGACAAAGGGGCTGAAGTCACTTCTGTCGTTTCAAAATCTCTCGCTCTTCCCTCCCAAGGCAGCACGAATCTTCCAACACCGACATTATCCCTAACCTCGTCACCAACCACACCAATTGGGCAAGAGCATTTGTCCGAACACGACGTCCTGAATGTGTTTGCACGCCAGAAGCCCCCAATCGGGTCAAGGTCTCAGAGCTCCAGTCCCGACCTCGGACTCCTCGGCCGAGTAAGCCGACTTGTCGAGCCAGTGAGGAAGAGCACCATTCCCACTTCCAAAGCTACGTCGACGACGTCCATGGCCTCGTCACTGCCTGTGATCAAGGGCAAGGGTGTCTTGCTCAGTGTTCCGTGTCATTTAATAACTCTGCTTGAGGCAGTTGAAGGGGTATTTACGCTGACTTCTTCTCGACTACTGTTCACGGACCGTGAAACAACGTTGGACCAAACCACGGTTTTCTCGACCCCGACCGCCATCACCGGTGCACCTGTAGACATTAATGCAGTGGAAAACTTGCGATTACGGCGCAGCTTAAATAGCGGTTTGGCCTTTGATTTTGCTCGAAGGCCACTCAGTAGAACACAATTCACTAATGTTGTCGCGTCCAGCACAGCCAGTCTGCTTGGACTCAGATATCAGGGAAATAGTGAGTGCCGTTCAACGAAATGATTAAACTTAGCATCACTTTCTACTTGCAAAATCATATAAGTAGTCTATATTATAGTAATAAATATTGTCCTAAAAATAATAAAGTACCTATATTCGTATTTACTCATTACAATAAAATACCTGTTAATAAGGCCAAGCAGACGACTGAGTATCGATGAGAAATTTTAAAGTATAAATAAGGGTTAGGAAAGTCATATGTATCATCTGATGCAAAAGTACCGTGTGATGTTTTTTAAATGATAACATCTCTTTAGGTCACTGTACTTTTAGTTTTGTTGAAGAATTTACCTAAAGGCTATTCGTAAGTATGTTGGGAATGCTTTCATTTCTTGTGAAAGTGCATAATGTAGAGATTCGAGAATTTATCCCACCAGAAGGCGATGCAACATCGCATTAAAATACGATGAAGTCCACAAGACATTCTTCCTCGTTTCGAGTGAAACGGGTTGAACTTACGCCCATCATATGATGGACCTCATCAGAACTGGAAGTCATTCTGGTATAAAGTTCAAAGTAAATTCCAGGTCAAGAATAC